CCATATATGCATGTACATATGTAATCATTCCATAAATGCATGTACTTTGATCATATTCAACCCCTTTATTACTCTTTCTTATACCTCTTTCCCCTTCAATCTTAATGATTTCCATTACTCTATTTTCACATATGCATGTTCTTGGATCATATTCACCCCCTTTATTACCTTCCCCTTTCACTCTCCTCACTCTTGATGGTTTCCACCCCAAAGTCATTTTACACTCATATCATTTGTTTTTTAGGTCTACATATCCTTTTGAATCTGCTTGATTTAACACGATATTTCCAGTCCTATCCATTTTCCTGCAAGCAACATAATTTCATTCTTCTTTATGGCTACATACCACTCCATTCTAAATGTGTGTATGTGTGTGTGTTGTTTGTGTTTATCACATTTTATTTTGCTATTTATCACTTGAGGGTGATTTAGGCTGATTCTACCAATTACCTACTGTAATGTTGTTAAGATAAACATAGGTGAATGAGTATCTCTATTGTATCTTTACATTTCTTTGGATATATGCCCATGAGTGCTACAATAGGAGCCTCCTTACTGATTTCCAGTGGCTACACTTTGGGTTTTTGATGGCAAGTTTGGTAGATTTTTAAAGAGTTAAATTTATACATCACCCAGAAAATCCATTCATATATCGGTACAAAACAAAAACTTATGACCAATGACTTGCATACAAATGTTTACAGCAGCCTAATCTATAATGGCCAAAAAGTAAATGCTCCTAAAATGTCCATCACCTGCTGAACAAAATACAAACAACAGATTAGTAGTCAACAACAAAAAGGAACAAAGTACTGATATGTCTCAAAATCACTACACTACTAAAAAGAAGCCAGACACAGGGAGCACTTATTCTGTGTCCACTTATACAAAATGTCTAGAAAAGCTGACAGCTTTTTCTATAATCCTAGCTACCCAGGAGGCTGAGACGTAGAAGACAACTTTGAAGCCAGCCCAGGCAGAAAATTCCAAAAGACTCATTTCCAATTAACCAGACAAAAAGTGGGCTGAAGGTATGGCTCAAGTGGCAGAGCATCAACCGTGAACAATTAAGCCAAGGGAGCACAAGGACCGTAAATTCAAATCCCTTTACCAAAAAAAGAAAAAAGTAATCATGTGTCCAATAAAAATTTCAACATGAAATTTTCACAGCAGGCTTACATATACACAAAGACGGCAAGACCAAACAATGGAATATTAACCCTAAAAAGAAATGAAGTACTGATATTTGCTACAGATAGATGAACCTTGAAGCACTATTAAATGAAAAAAATCACAAATAAAAGATTACATATTATATATTACACAAATATGAAATATGCATAAAAGAAAACTTCATAGAAATGGGGGGGGGAGGAAGGTGGTTAACAGAAGCCAGGTGGGGTGGTACATGCCTATAATCTCAGCAGTTGTGAAACCCAAGTAGAAGAATCAAGAGTTCAAGGCCAGGGCTACATAATGAGACCAGTTATACCTACAGAATTAGCTACTCAGAAGGATGAAATCAGGATCCTGGTTCAGAGCCAAGCCCATGCAGACCAATCCAAGACTCTCATCTCCAATTAACCAGCAAAAAGCCAGAAATGGAGGCATAATTCAAATGGTAAGAGTGCTAACTATGAACAAAAAATGCCAAGGAAAAGTACAATACCTGAATTCAAGGCCCAATACCATACCCCCCAAAAAAACACAAAAAATAAAAACTAACTTCCATATGAACTCTATCTTCTTTTAACTAGAGAAAAGAATCAGAAATGTATAATCAAGGAAGATTATAGATTCTCTTTGTCATGATTTAGATTTGCTTTGTCTTCCAAAAGTATATAAGCTAGAAGAATGGCCTTGATGTGGTAGTATTGAAGCAAAATAACCTTTAAAAGATGAGGGCCCAATGAGAAATAATCAATTTATGGGACCGCTGCTCTCAGTAGGAATTAATGTAGCTCTTTCAGGACCCCAGTTAGTTCCACACATCATTATAAAAAGATCTTGGCTCAAGAAATCTTATTTGCTTTTTAACATGTGATCTCTCAACTTTGCACATATTCCTGCCACGATGTCACCTATCACGTTATGGTGCAGCCTGAAGATCCTCACCACACAAATATTGGAATAATGCTTGTGAACCTCCAGAACTATAAGCTAAGTAAACTACTTTTATTTATAATACCCACCTTGTGTATTGTTAAGCTAACAAAAAAATTGAGTAATATAGTTCTTAACAAGGAAATAATCTCTCTGTGCCCAGAAGTTTATGAAGAGCCCAACAGAATGATCCATATCATGGTCCAAAGCAAGGCCATGTAATAGCAACAACAGTAACAACAACAACAATGTTCCATATTTAGTAAAAAGGAAAAAAAAAGGAATTGTTATCTGAATCTTTATTTTACCTTCTCCACATGTAGTGGTTTTACTAAAACACAGAAACTCAAAGAACCTTTCATTTGAATGTTTTCTTATATTAAGAAATTATTCAACCGAGTATTGGTGACTCACACACCTGTAATTCTAGCTACTCAGGAGGCTGAGATCTGAGGATCCAGTTCAAAGCTAGCCCAGGCAGGAAAGTCCATAAGACTCTTACTGCCAATAAAACCACTCAGAAAATCAGAAGTGGCACTATGGTTCAAGTGGTAGAACATTCGCCTTGAGCTGAAGAACTGAGGGACAGCGCCCAGGCCCAGAGTTCAAGCCCCACAAGGAAGGAAGGAAGGAATTATTCAGGATCCACAAACAAGTACAGAATGTGCATATCCTAGCCTAAAATAAAGTTTTTAAAAATTCTATTTGGCTGAAATCTAGCCTGGATTGAGGCTCCACCACTACCATCTTGGAACTACAATTGAGATTCCTTTTCATCTGTCTGTGGCCTAGATCATCAAGCCAACTTTCTATTGGTCAGGCTGGCCTCCCCGTAGCCGGCTTTTATAAATAAAAAATCTATATAATTATTACTGGAACTACTTGCAGAAATATGGAGCTAGTTAAAGATACCATTTACTTTAAAATGTACAGTTTCACATACATGCACCAATCTATCTTCCAGCCATACCAATACTTCGTCTTTCTTTTCTGATGCCTTAATAAACTGTTAAGAAATCAAGCAGAGGCTCACATCTATAATTCTGAGAACTGAGTCTATAAGGCTCTTATCTCTTTGTTTAATATTATAAGTATTTATTTTATTAAATATTATTTGATTTTAAAATTAATTTCCTTCTCAGGGCTCATGGTGATTTTTTTAGTTTTTGCTGATTCATCTAAATTAAGATTCTATATTAATTATAATTGTTAAGATGTATAAGAACAATAATTATTCAGGATCTCTTGTGCTTTTTTTTAATGACTTGGCATGCCCAAGGTTAGGACCATTTGTAAAAATCAAAATACAAATTCTACCTGATGCCAATATGAGGCTCTTATCTCTTGATCAGCAAAAAAAAAAAAAAGAATGGATTTTCTTCCTACTCAAATGGTAGACAACCACTCATGAGGAACAGCCAAGGGAAAATGCAAAGGCCCTGAGTACTGGCATACCAGGCACGCACACACACACATCAGACAGAATATAAAAAGAAAAAAAAAGAATTAAAATAAAGTACTAGGATAAAAAGTTCATTCTGGAGAAGTAGAATTAGAAGAAAGTAGGAAAAACAAATTCTTTTTTTAATGTAGTCTTTCTTATGAGTGATACATAGGAGTGCCTCTTTCCACTTGAATCTGGTACAGTACATTACACGGAAACATCATTTGATTTAAGTTAAAATGGATAAAGTCACAGTAAACATGTTTTCTATCTAAACTTATATAATGAATGATCCCAACACATGATATGAATGCTCTCCTTTGTAACAACCCTTCCTCCTTCCTTGAGGGTATAATGAGAAAATGTTCTGAGCTGTCTACCACTAAACATAAGCGACATTCACAAATAGCTGAAGTTGGGTGGCCCAAGCATGCTGTGCTTATTTGATAAGTGGTTAGTCAAACATATTATAGTTTAGTTGCATTAAATGGGACACAGGTTAGACGGAAATTAGGAGGACCCAGGAGTTTTCAAACTGTTCGGACTAGAACAAAAGTCCAGGAATATACAACGTCTTTGCTGGAAAATTCCTTGGCCTCTTTCCTTAAGATTCTAGTCCCAAACTTGTCAAGTTTCAGGAACACACACACACACCCTCCACCATGTCTTGCCGGCACCCCGGAACACTAGAACACACTAAATCATAAAAGATTAACAGCTCTAACTGTACCCTCCTAAAGAAACACCACAAACCTCCCCCCCACCACCACCAAAAAAAAAAAAAAAAATCCCTCAGGGCTTTTCATATGATTTGGCCCAGCATTCAAACAAAGAGCTCAGGGGAGATGATCGCCAATCCTAACCCTCTCTCGGTCCAGCACTACAGGCAGGAGGACGGGAGGGACGGAGTCTGCACCCTGCCTCCTCTTCGAAGCGGGCCTACCCCCTAACTAGAACTCCGGCGGAGACAATCAGGCTAGCTGATGGATAAAATAAGAGGTCACAACTCTCACGGATCCATCCAACGCAAAACAATAAGAAATTCACCTCGGCGCCACTCAATACCCAGCCCCCAAGGATCAAGGAACCAAACCCACCCAAAACGCCAACTCCCAGCCCCTCCCGCTCTGGGGATTCCCTTCCACGTGACCCCTTCGCCGGCTCCACCCCCTGAGCTCGCCACGCCCCCGCAAAGACCACGCCCACCTACGGGTCCGCCCACTTCTAAGCCCCGCCCATCGCGCTGGCGCTACCGAACGCCGCTTCCCACCGCCCCTCTTTAAGGTGCGCCCGGCGGAAGGCAGGCTTCCCCACCTCGGGGCGCGGGGCACGGCGGGCGTCCTTGCGAGTCTCCCCTCCCTCTCTGTGCAGCACCGCGACCCTCAGTTGACGCGTCCGCTAGGCCCCTTGGGGGATGCCAGCCGTCTTCGCTTCGTTCTGCGGCCTGTCTTACCGGGTGGTCCTCACCAGCGCTGCTTTGGCACTTGGCTCGTGACAGGAAGGACGCCACGGCCCGGGCTCTTGTGGCTTGAGAACTTGGCTTGCCTTCCTATTTGGCTTTGTGTTTGTGTCGACTCTTGGAATTTTCCCGCGGTCTCTCGACAGCCGAGCTGCGCGCGCGCACACACCCACATGTACGCGCAGTGCACTCTGGGGCCTGGCGTGCGGCCTAGCGTGCCCTCGCCCCCACCCGCAGATCCGCGGCTTCGCGGGAAAAGTTCGGACGAATCTCGGGTCGGTGGGGGCGGGCTCGAGCGGAAGTGGGCCGGCCGGAGGCGCGCCCGGGGCGGGGACGAGCCCGGCTCCGTGGCTCGGTGGGAGACGCTGGGCCTTGTGGGGCTGCAGCGGAGGCCCGGGTTCGAAAACAGAAAAGGCGATCTTGGGATTTCTGTGTTGGCGTTTGTGGTCGTGGTTCTCCTGTCACTGCCAGATAACCTGAGCATTCACTGTGCCGCGGAGGCGAAATGGAAAAAGGTTTGTCAAGGAGCAAAACCTCCAAAAGCAGGGCCAGAAATCTGGCTTGTTTAGCTGTGGTCTCGACCACACAATCAGGACTTTTTTACGGTCACTAATTCGTGTAAGCCACGTAATGGAAGCACATTTTTTACAAACTTCCTTTCGGGTCAGCGACACTGTCTTGGATTTTTTTCTTCTTCTTAGTGAAGATTAATAAGAGTAAAACCGACCGATTCTTTCCTAGATGTTTAAGTTGTTTTTTAAATGATGGGAGAGGTGACTGAGCAAGATGCGTTGTACACAAAGGTTGAAAATGTTAAACTAAAATCCCTTTAATGATCAGAAGAAAACAATTTTTTAAATATACAAAATCTAACCTTCAGCCTTTAGATTCTTCTTACATGAATTCCTTATAACCGTGATTTAAGACTACAGTTTCGTGTGTGCTTTTTTAAACAAACTTAAAAACAGTGTATTATATAATAAAAGTAGCCCTTCATTGTTTAAACACTTCCAACCATTCTTAGGATGAAGAAATACTTATTTTACAAAACATTAAGTCCAATTCAGAAATGAAATACCCTGCCAGGGTTATAAATAAGTAAGTGATTAAAAGGAGTATGCCCAGTAGTGGTAGCAACATTTTTTTTTAAGATAAAAGATGAACCCAAGCCAAAATTGGAGACAAAGTTGACAAAATCCGCTTTCTAAAACCAGATGTTTAAACTCATTCTTTACACTGCCCCCTGGTTGATGCAAGACTTATGTGTGTGTGCACATACATATAATGGAGATATAGATAGATCTCCATCCATATTTGAGTGTTGCTTTTTGGTTTTTTTTTGTCTGGGTACTGGGGCCTGAACTCAGGCCCTGAGCACTGTCCCTTAACATTTTTACTCAAGGCTGGTGCTCTCTCACTTGAGCCACAGCTCCATTTCTGGCTTTTGGGTAGTTAATTGGAGATAAGAGTCTCACAAAATTTCCTGCCCAGGCTGGCATAAAACTGCAATCAGATCTCTGCCTTCTCAGTAGCTAGGATTGCAGGTATAAGCCACCAGCACCTGCCTGTTTTGAGTGTTTCTTATTATGATATTTAAGCTATTAGAAAGTCACACTGTGACTAAGTGAGCCCACTAATATTTTTAGACTGCATTTGCCAGCAAAGCAATGAAACTATGTTTATTTTGGCAGAACTTGGTTTTGAACTCAGGGCCTTCATCTTAGTAGACAGATACTGCCATGCCTCAGCCATTTTTTCTTTAGTTTTGAAATAGGGTCTCCAGGTACTTCTGTTTGGCCTTCCATATACCTGGGATGACAGATGAACACCAGTTTACCTTTTTATTGCCTGAGATGGGGGTCCTATAAACTTCTTTTTGCCCAGGCTGACCTCAAACCATGATCTTCCCAATACCTGCCTCCTGCATAGATAGGATTATAGGTGTGAGCCATCTTGTGTGTATATGTGTCTGTTTAAAGAGACTTCGTTTCAGTACTCTTTATGTATTTGCTGAAAAACATCTGTAATGTTTGTGTTTTATTGAGGTGTTGCAATTTTGCAGTTTTATCACTTTAATTCAGGTTAATACTGCTTTGGATGCTTAGGCTTAATTTGGATTTGGTTGGGAGGTACATATGGTATAAAGAGTAAATTTTCAACTTATTTATAGACATTTCACTTTATCTGACATACATATGTATGGGGTATACTTTCTAATATTTTAAGCAGTAATGAGATGACCCATTTGTAAAATTACAAAGTTTCCTAAGAAACAAATACTTAAATAAAAATCCTGTTTTTGTACTGGGCTAAAATTTTGTGTAACACTGGAAACAAGTTAGGTTCTGTTATAGAGCCCAATCACAAATAGTGTTGAACAAATTAAAAATGTTTTATTTAGATGAAAGTTATTACATCCCTGAGCTTTTTTGCTCAAGGCTAGTGCTCTACCATTTTGAGCCATAGCTCCTCTTCTAGTTTTCTGGGGTTAAGTGGATATAAGAGTCTCACAGACTTTCCTGCCCCATCATACTTCAAACCTTGACCCTCAGATCTCAGCCTCCTGAGTAGCTAAATTACAGGTGTGAGCCACCAGCACCCAGCTCTAGCAAACCTTCCTTTAAAGTTCAAAAAACAAATAGAATCACCTGCCTTGGATTCCACATCATTACAGTAGGAATCCTTCCACAGAGTCCAAATACCAGGCTTCCAGCTGTCACTTGATACTCCAGGGCTGAACACTGTCTTATCTACAGCTTCAATTTTACAACTGTGAATGTTTTATATGTATTATACCAAGGTCACATACTGGACGGATTCCATGGCTTACATTATTTCCTTTATTTCTCACAGTGATCTTATGTTGTAGGTAGTATTTCAGTATCACAGAGATACTAGTACATGTTGGAGCCTGACTTCAAATCCAGGTAGATTGACTTGGATATCTGTACTTTTTACCACTTACTATGTGTTGGCTTATCTCCCAAATTAGGAGAAAACAAGGGATGCCATAGACTTATATTGTCTAATCATCAATTAAAACATCTGAGAGAAAATGTATAACAATTCAGAGAAAACAATGAAAATAATTTTTGTACAGGAGACACTTAAAGAAATGGAGCAATAATGACAGTCTTTGATTAGCTATCCTGCATAGAAAAGAACTCATGAGCTCAAGGAAGGTCAAGGCTACAAAAAGTAATCAACTACCCTACAGTGTTATGTGTTACATAGGTTAAGCGTGTAGCATATATTTTGACTTTGGATATTTTCATCCTACACTGTACTAGTCCCCGGATCCTTTCTACAACTACTTAAACCAAGAATGGTAACCTGACCCTCATTGAACTAATGGGTTCCTAGGGAATCTGGATTTCAGCACTGAGACTGAGTCACCTCTATAACTCAGAAACCAAAGCCCCTTTGCTGGCCAAAGTTTGGGGGGGGAAATGTAAGTAACAGAGAAAATTATTAGGAAAAAAGCAAAACAGCGGACGCTGGTGGGTCACACCTGTAATCCTAGCTACTAAGGAGGCTGAGATCTGAGAATCACTGTTCAAAGCCAGCCCCGGCAGGAAAGTCCATGAGATTCTTATCTCCAAAAAACCACTAGAAAACCAGTTGTGGCATTGTGGCTCAAGCAGTAGAGTGCTCACCTTAAACTGAAGAGCACGAGGACAGCGCCCACGCCCAGAGTTCAAACCCCAAGACTGACCAAAAAAAAAAAAGCAAGGGGCTGGGAAGGTGGCTCACTGGTAGAGCGGTTCGATTCCTCAGCACCACATAAGCAAAAAGAAAAAAGCCGGAAGTGACGCTGTGGTTCAAGTGGTAGAGCACTAGACTTGAGCTGAAGAGCTTAGGAACAGCACCCAGGCCCAGAGTTCAGGCCCCAGGACTGGACACACACACATACACAAAAAAAAGCAAAACAAATTGAAAAGATATGTTATTCTATATAACAGGGTAGATTCCATTCCCAATTTTCTTATTTTAAGTATAGTTTTAAGGCAAACTGACTTTTTCTATTCTTAGTTGTCCCCAAGATTCCTATATCCTTGAACCAGTCACCCCTTTTCTGTGCTGACTTCAGCAATAAAGGACCTGGAAATGATAGCTGTTTGTTGTCTCTGAACTTCAGAACTCTGGCCGAGCCTTCCAGATTAGAGTGGATGGAAGTCTAGTAAAAATCTACTGAAGGAAATAAGAACATTTTTTCTTTATCCATACTAGTTCATGACTGAGGCCCCTAAACCAAAGATTAGCAATAGAAAATAGAGATTTATTTAATGTTACTTTTCAATATATAGGAAACTTCCTAAGAAACCAAGATCCAAATAGTTAAACCATGTATTTTTATGCTAGGTTTAGTGAAGAGTAGATAATCACGGAAAGATACAAATGAGCAAAGAATATGATCTAACACTCATAAATGAGAGAAGGATTTAGCAAGAACTTCTGGTTATCTCTGACCTGTGGCTTCCATGGGTCAGTGGATGCTCCTTTGCTACAAGTAGAAAGAGGGCACCTTTCACATAAAGGTTTTATAAGCTCCTTAGGGATGAGAAAATTCTAAGTAGCTTTCATGGCCTTCAGAGGACAAGGAAAGTTGATTCTGCTACATTTTTAGTGCTGTGATGCCTAGCATGTTCTGAACCTTTTTACCAACCATAAGAAAAGGATAGATTTAGCATATAGGCAACATTGAAGATACAGATTTGTACACATCTTGAAAGTGGGAGAAACCAGAAATTCTTGAGATTTTTTTTTAATTTCTTGGGCCAGTACTTTGTTTTATTGTTGCTTTATTATTATTATTTTTGCAGTGCTAGAATCTTTTGGGTGCTAAGCAAATGCTTTCCACTTAACTATACCCCTAGACCTTGAGCCAATAAAATGTCAAAATATTTGAAATTCACAAAGTTAACAAGTTTTCTTGGAGCAAGTAAAGATGTTAGGGGAAATATCTACAATCAATTTTAATTTCCTTTTCAATAAGCATTTTTTCACTTTATAGATTAGGGAAAACAATCTTAAAGTCTTCCAAGTAGAATGAGTATTCTCTGTGAAAAGCTAATTATGTTGCCCTTATTCTTCTAATTTTACCACTTCTTCCTCTTATTATATCAGAACACACTTGTCAAT